CTCCCAGTTAGAAGAGACCTGGGAAGCAAGAGGTCTGGGAAGGGGGAGAGCCTGGAACATGGCATGGTGCTCGCTGCAGAAAGCACATGTTCCCACCTGCAGTTCCTTGCTATGAATTTCAAGGGGCTGCTCCCACTGGGGGTGTCTAACATTTGGCAGGGGAGTCCAAATCTGGGATTTAGAGTAGGAAGGCCCTGGGTGCAGCCCACCAAAGCCATCTACTCCCACCCGGACATTATCTGTGACAAAGGCATACTTTTATGTACATGTTGAGTCTCCTTTGTTTAATCTCTCTACTGGATGGGTCTTGGGAAAAAATGAGAGTGTCATTTACTGGGCTTTTTCATATCCCCATATTAACCACTACATTGTTCTATATGATGCTGTGTTGCCTTTTGGATGCAAAGAGCCTCAAAAAGCAGTTAGCAAATTTATTTCATTATATACTAAAAAATATATATATACCAGGATAAAGTACGGTTTAATTTGGAAAAGCAAGCATTTGTTCACTCAACAAATACCGTTAGTTCTGCTATGGTACAACATATGCATTCCTAAAAGTCATTGTGCTGTGCAAAATTTCACAATAAAAACTACAGGGCTTATGGGGAAAATGGGGTAAAAGGCAGGACACGCAAAACATTTCATCAGTGACACATTTTTTAAAAGATAGGAATCTAATAAAAAGGGTAGAACAGTTTTACATGTTAAATAGCTAAGACAGACATAAATACCACAATGAGCATGGTGCTTTACCTGAAACAGCCTGGAGGTTGCTTGTGGCAGTGGATAAGGGAATGGCCGCAGCTTGGGTGCCACTGTGAAGTGAAGCGAGGAGGGTTATCTGGAGTCCCTCCAAAAGTCAGAACCACAGTGTGCAGCGCTGTGGCTCACCATCCTGCCCGACCAAGGGGCAGCTTCAGGTGTGCGCGCGTGCACTTTGTGCATCGCCAGCACCATGCTTAGCTGGTGCTTTCTGTGTGCACATAGTGTTACTCACAAACAAAATCACACATAAGCAATGCGGACTTCACCTTGTGCCCAGACTGTTCCCTAATTGTTCGACTGTGTTGGAACAAATCACGTTTCCAAACCAAGCACTATAGCAGAACTGTAGTTATGGAGAACCTACCACGTGCTAGGCCTGTTCTAGACGTCACAGATTCAGCAGAGGGAACTACGAAGTCTCCACCCTCACGAGACTTACATCGCAATGAGGGAAACGATAAACAAAAAATAATATAATTTCAGGTCATGAGAAGTGCTGTGAGGAAAAAGAAGAGTGCAGGAAAATGAGTGGCAGGCTGTGGTGGCATCTTTTCTAGGTTCATGTATCCTTTTCCTGGCGCTGCCGTTGACAAAGTACCACAGACTTGGTGGCTTAAACAGAAATGGATTGTCTCAGTTCTGGAGGCCAGAAGTCCAAGATCAAGGTGTGGGCAAGGCTGGTTCCTTCTGAGGGCTGTGAGGGAGTGTCCCTGAGTCTCCCTTAGCTTCTGTGGTCTGCTGTCCCTTGGCTTGTAGAAACATCACCCCATCCCCACCTTCATCTTCACGTGGCGTTCTCCCTGAGCACTTGTCCATGTCCAAATTTCCCCTTTCATAGGACACTAGTTACAATAGATCAGAGGCCCACCTATTCCAGTATGACCTCGTCTCAACTAATTACATCTGCTGTAACTTTATTTCCAAATAAGGTCACATTGTGAGGTACTGAGGGCTAAGTCTTCAACTTATGAATTTGGGGGGCACAATTCCACCTGTAACAGTTGGTAAGGAAAGACCCCTTCATTAAGTGACTTTTGAGCCAGAAATGTGAATGAGATGAGAGAGTGAATCGGGTAAACATCTGAGAAGCATGGTCAGTGCAGGGTGGGGGGTGGGGGTCAGGTGGTGTGGCAGGTTTGTTGGTGATAGTTGGGAATGTTGGTTTCTTAGAAAAATGTGCTCACGGCGACTTCGAAGTGTGCAGGCCCAGCATACCCGGGTCTCCTGAAACCCACCTCCAAGACTACTCCCAGCCAGCCTGCCTGGGGGGGTTTATGCCCCAAGTACATATTTCTTATTCTACCACAATATCATGCCTATCAATGGATGTTTTATATTAATTAAAAGAGTATTAAATTTTTCATTTCCCGAAGTTTTTAGGGGGAAAAATCTTTTTCAAATGTCTCCTGTTCCTTACTTGTATTTTTAATCTTCTTTTTTATTTCTTTAAACACAAAAAATGTAATTATTTTACATGTCTGGTAATGCCAATAGTGCAGTTTAGTTTTTCAGATGTGATTTTTGTTGGTGGGGGTCTCCAGTGGCTCTCGTTCATGGTGATTTCTTCCTGGTGTGTTTTATGATGTTTTCTTTTTTTTTTTTTTTTTTCCTTTTTGAGACCCGCTGCACCGCGCTCAGCCAGTGAGTGCTGTGAGCGCACAGGTCATCCCTATATAGGATCCGAACCCGTGGCGGGAGCGCTACTGCGGTCCCAGCACCGCACTCTCCCGAGTGCGCCACGGGCTTGGCCCTATGATGTTTTCAACAGCAAATTGTCTATGTCCCTTCAATAGCTATCTGTGGGAAGTTTTTGAAATCTGGATCGAACTCGCATTTCTCCAGAGAATATTTGCAGTTATCCATTTTTTCTAGTTTTGTTCCCTTACAGTCCGACATAAGTCTTGTAAGATTTCTCTCTTTAGAAATCAAGTTGTCTGTTCCGTTCAATGTATAATCACTGCTGTATACTGAGGATGTACTACACACTGTTTGTAGAAAAGCACATTCTGGGCCGAGCCCCTGGCGCACTCGGGAGAGTGGGTTCGGATCCTATATAGGGATGACCCGTGCGCTGGCAGCGCTCAGTGGCTGAGCGCTGTGCGGCCGGTCTCAAAAAGGACCAAAAAAAAAAAAAAAAAAAAGAAAGAAAGAAAGAAAGAAAGAAAAGCACATTCTGCGACTGGCCACAAACACTGACATGAAAGCTGTATTCTGCCTGTAGTTAAATTTCCCTTCTGAGCCTACGCTGCCAGGGACGCTGCCCCCTCCTGGGCTGCACCACAAGGAGGGAAGTTCACTGATACCCTGAACATAGGAAAAGGGAAAGTGCCACTGTCTCCTCTCTAGATTCAGGCCTGGAGGTCCCCTGAAGTCCGGAGGCGCCTGCTTTTGCAGAGGCAGAGGGTGGCGTGCTTACAAGGAAGACAATCCCAGAACGGTGGCCCATCCCCCACCGTTCCAAGGGGGGCGTTCTTTATAAGCAGGGTGACCCCAAAGCCGGCTTTGCCCAGGGCTTTCCAGGTTTATGCCAGCTGTTGGGAGAATGGGCACGCTCGTTCACTTCCAAAAGTGACCAGGTTTGGCCAGTGAGTGATGTGGTCACTCTACTCCTAGGCCATGGTGAGAAGTCTATCCGGAGGGCCCAATGGGAAACCAGCGAGGGTTTAGTGGGAAAGTGAGACATGGTTTACATTTTATAAGGATCCTTGGGCTCTGCTCAGGGAGAAGAGGGCACTGGAGGGGACCAGAGTGAAGGCAGGGGTATTAGCGACCTTGGGGGTGGGGGTGAGGCTTTGAGTCGTTTGGGACCCTCTGGATCTCCCTGACAGGCTCCCCCTTCGCCTGCCCTGGAGCCTGGGGTCCTCCCTGCGAGGAGGGGCCCCAGCTGAGCAGCCCAGCCAGGCCTGACCTTGAGCGAGGCCAGCCTGGCTTCCCGCCACGAGGCCGGATCTGGAGCGGTGGAGCGATCCCTGCATTTCCCGGGTTGACTTGGAAGGGATCAGGTTACCTTCTGCTCCGCAGGCAGAAGGGGCTCCCCTTAGAAGAGAGAGCGGGACCAGGGGCTGACTGAGGGGGAGGAAGGCAGAGCAGGGCCAGCAGCTCTGCTGGGGAGAGGAGGCCTGGGCCGAGGAGCGGGTGGCGCAGGTCGGGCGCCAGGACGCCCCGGGCCGCGGGCGGGGCCGAGGCGAGAAGAGCGCGGCAGGAGCGGCGCCGG